TCTCAGAGATATGAGCGTTCAAAGATGTACAATTTAAATGAAACGCCCTGTAGAGAGGGATATGTCTTAACAAAGACAATTAACAACAAATTAACAAGCTGCCGGGACAAAGAGCCCCGGCAGATGGGGTGAGGAATTGACCTGACCGAAAAAAAGCAGGGTTAGGACAAGCTAGAACCTGGGAGTGGACTCTAGCTGAGGATCTTCGCGTGCTGTCCGGCCAGAGGTTCAAGACGGACTGCCATAGGGCAGAGGTGAGGGCGTGAAGGGGCGAGAGGAGGTCCGCTATTACTACTCGGCGTAGTAACTCGGGGACTCTTCCCCTCTGCTCATCCATGGGCACGAAGACTCCACAAGACGAACTGAACGGATCATCTTTGAAACACAATCCTATTAATCCATGTTTGGAATGGAGCGATTTTGGTGTAGATTCCGGGGAATCCATCAACCCCGCAGCCATACCCGAAGGAAGATATCCCCACAACCTTGAACCGTCTGCTATTGGGGTCTTCGTACAGCAGAGCTCCTCCCGAATCACCCTGTCACAACATATAATGTATCAGTGAATAATATATTTTAAATTCAGATAAGTGGCTTTCCGTAAAGTAAGAGGAATAGTGATAAATGAATAATAATACAGAGTCAACCCGTTTCAACAACCAAGGATCATGCTTGCACAATATTCGCTCTCATATAACTAATGTGGAAAGACTATGGTTTTCCGCACCACTCCTAAATTTTTTAGGGATCCGTTCCTCCCGAATGTGTTTTAAAATGCTGACTAACACTGAGCACTTTCTTCAGGTTAGCCTGTTAGCTTTTCATTCATGTGAAAGAAAGGACAACGAACGCACGAACCTGGCAGGAGTCCTTGCCCTTTTCGCCGGCGCAGAGCATTGAGTCCTTAATTCCATCGGGAATTTTCACGACTGCCCCAGTCATTTGGAAGGAGGCTGCATTACAGGATTGCAAGTCTACCAGCGGCACCTTCACCTCCTGCAATGTTGGACTCATCTCTTGCCCTGTGCAGGAAAAGGGGGGGGGGAATTTAAAAAAAAAGTTAGAAGCCCAGTCATAAAATAGCTTCATTCAGTGCATCGCAGATGATTTAAATGAAATAATGGAGGAAACCCATAAAAATGATGAATGGAGACCACAATCCGCTCCATGGCCTCCTCCGAGGACTTATGAATTTCGACTTTATTTTGCTAATGAATAAAAAAAGAAAAACAAATAGATATATAGATATTAGCTTTGTGAGTGGAAGAAATTGTTATGAAGTTCGAAATAGTTTCCTCGCTATCGTTGTCGAAGCTTCGCGTTATCACAGACTCACGGGCAACAGTACGGAGGATTACAGTCTCTTTGATTTTTCAAAAGAATGGAGACTCACAAAAAAGGTGGAAATTTCCATCTAATTGAATGTTTTCCATAACAAAGACATTAGCGATGTCGTTACTCGTTGCCTGAGATTAAAGAAACCCATTGCATTTCCCTTTGAAATTCGAAAATAGCAGAAGCAAAGAGTTCCATCTGATCTATAGGGGATACTTATGAAAAGAGGGCAATATTTCAGTTTTGAAATGGAACATACCGTATCCAACGGTGCCCCATCCGGCGAAAGTGAGCACCGTTTCGGGACTGAGATCAAGACGCTGTTTGGAATTGTGGAGACAAGCTGGCAGGATTTCCTTAGTGAAATTCACCGGCTTCGACAACCTGCATTCAATCAATATGCGCGGTCAATATACTCAGACAATTGATCACACAATCTCTCGAAACGAGGTCGCTCGAATAACCCACCGGATGAGAGCGATGTCAGCATAGCGAGCAGGAGATTTGAAGTCAGGATGAATTATGATTCCATCCTGGGCAGGGCTGATATCCACTACAGGTACACTTTCCGTGTCAGAATTCAAATCGTGCTCACCCAGTCGAATCACGTCCAGTCTTCTGCATTCGTGCCAAGAAACAAACACGGGAAAAAAAAGTGTGTGTATGTGTTTTTTTTTTCAATCAGGTGATAACGTAAAACGGTAAATTAGCCGTCGCGCGATTCGAGCTATCTGATAGCTCCAGAAGAAATAAGAGAGTCGGAGAGAGCAATAGTCTTATCACGTACCTGTCTCCTTCAAAACAGTGAGCAGACGTGAGGACGTAGTCATCGCTAATCAAGGTACCACCACAAAACCAGTCATTAGTTGTTTTTCGTTCTCCCAGCAAGACCTGCAACAGGATACATTTCCCATCACAATGCGTGTGCATCATCCGGTTGGAACGCTGCAAGCTATCTTGCTCAGCATATAAAAATACTCATAAATATCTAAGCAAGTCATCGAAAGGGAGGTGTGTGGTAGAGTGGGAAAGTTTTAAAGCGCATCATGCTCGGCCATTCTCTCGTCCTGCGGATATGGCTGACGTGAAGGAACAAGGGAAAAAAAA